GTTGGGAAAGGATCTTGACATTTGTTTAAAATTAGTTTGCTTCACAAACATTATTTAGGATATTAGTTTTCTAGATATGAAGTGGATAGTGCCAAACCCCATTGCAAGCCAAAATGGCCTATTTTCAGGCAATGTGCCAGTGGTCTGTGTGCGGTGTTCCAAAAAGCCCAGCAATAACTGCTAATTTCTTTTGGGAAAGGAGCTTGGCTTTTGTTTAAAATGGGTTTGCTTCAAAAATGTTATTCAGGATATTGGTTATCCAGATGTTAAGTGGATAGTACAAAGCCCCGTTGCGTGACAAAGTGGCCTGTTTTCAGAATTAGAAAGGTGGGCTGTGTGCGGTTCTCCAAAAAGCACAGCAATAAATGGTAACTTCTGTGGGGAAACATCTAGTAATGCTTAGCCAGGTAACATGTAGTACTACACAGCAAGGGTAACATATTGTACTTTAAAGCCAAGACATCACCAGAGTAGCATGTAGTACTTTATATCCAGGGTTACATGTAGTACTGCATAGCCAGGTCAACATGTAGTACTACCTAGCCTGTGTAACATGTAGTACTACATAGCCTGTGTAACATGTAGTACTGCAGAGCCAGGGTAACATGTAGTACTACATAGCCAGGGCAACATGTATTACTGCATAGCCAGGGTAACATGTAGTACTGCATACCCAGGTCAACATGTAGTACTACATAGCCTGTGTAACATGTAGTACTACATAGCCAGGTTAACATGTAGTACTGCATAGCCAGGGTAACATGTACATGTTGTACTGCATAGCCAGGGTTACATGTAGTACTGCATAGCCAGGGTTACATGTAGTACTGCATAGCCAGGGTAACATGTACATGTTGTACTGCATAGCCAGGGTTACATGTAGTACTGCATAGCCAGGGTAACATGTAGTACTGCATAGCCAGGGTAACATGTACATGTCGTACTGCATAGCCAGGGTTACATGTAGTACTGCATAGCCAGGGTTACATGTAGTACTGCATAGCCAGGGTAACATGTACATGTTGTACTGCATAGCCAGGGTTACATGTAGTACTGCATAGCCAGGGTTACATGTAGTACTGCATAGCCAGGGTAACATGTAGTACTGCATAGCCAGGGTAACATGTACATGTTGTACTGCATAGCCAGGGTTACATGTAGTACTGCATAGCCAGGGTAACATGTAGTACTACATAGCCAGGGTAACATGTAGTACTGCATAGCCAGGGTTACATGTAGTACTGCATAGCCTGGGTTACATGTAGTACTGCATAGGCAGGTAACATATGTAGTACTGCATAGCCAGGGTTACATGTAGTACTGCATAGCGAGGGTTACATGTAGTACTGCATAGCCAGGGTTACATGTAGTACTGCATAGCCAGGGTAACATGTAGAACTACATAGCCAGGGTAACATGTAGCACTGCATAGCCAGGGTAACATGTAGTACTGCATAGCCAGGGTAACATGTAGTACTGCATAGTCAGGGTTACATGTAGAATTGCATAGGCAGGGTAACATGTAGTACTACATAGCCAGGGTAACATGTAGTACTACATAGGCAGGGTAACATGTAGTACTACATAGGCAGGGTAACATGTAGTACTACATAGGCAGGGTTACATGTAGTACTGCATAGCGAGAGTTACATGTAGTACTGCATAGCCAGGGTTACATGTAGTACTGCATAGCCAGGGTAACATGTAGTACTACATAGCCAGGGTTACATGTAGTACTACATAGGCAGGGTAACATGTAGTACTACATAGCCAGGGTAACATGTAGTACTGCATAGCCAGGGTTACATGTAGTATTACATAGCCAGGGTAACATGTAGTACTGCATAGCCAGGGTAACATGTAGTACTGCATAGCCAGGGTTATATGTAGTACTACATAGTCAGGTTAACATGTAGTACTGCATAGGCAGGGTAACATGTAGTACTGCATAGCCAGGGTAACATGTAGTACTGCATAGCCAGGGTTACATGTAGTACTACATAGTCAGGTTAACATGTAGTACTGCATAGCCAGGGTAACATGTAGTACTGCATAGCCAGGGTAACATGTAGTACTGCATAGTCAGGGTTACATGTAGTACTACATAGCCAGGGTAACATGTAGTACTGCATAGCCAGGGTAACATGTAGTACTGCACAGCCAGGGTTACATGTAGAACTGCATAGCCAGGGTAACATGTAGTACTGCATAGCCAGGGTAACATGTAGTACTGCATAGCCAGGGTTACATGTAGTACTGCATAGGCAGGTAACATGTAGTACTGCATAGCCAGGGTTACATGTAGCACTGCATAGCCAGGGTTACATGTAGTACTGCATAGCCAGGGTTACATGTAGTACTGCATAGGCAGGTAACATGTAGTACTGCATAGCCAGGGTAACATGTAGTACTGCATAGCCAGGGTTACATGTAGTACTGCATAGCCAGGGTTTCATGTAGTACTACATAGCCAGGGTAACATGTAGCACTGCATAGCCAGGGTTACATGTAGTACTGCATAGGCAGGGTAACATGTAGTACTGCATAGGCAGGTTACATGTAGTACTGCATAGCCAGGGTAACATGTAGTACTGCATAGCCAGGGTTACATGTAGTACTGCATAGGCAGGTAACATGTAGTACTGCATAGCCAGGGTAACATGTAGTACTGCATAGCCAGGGTTACATGTAGTACTGCATAGGCAGGTAACATGTAGTAATGCATAGCCAGGGTTACATGTAGCACTGCATAGCCAGGTAACATTTAGTACTGCATAGCCAGGGTAACATGTAGTACTACATAGCCAGGGTAACAGGTAGTACTGCATAGGCAGGTAACATGTAGTACTGCATAGCCAGGGTTACATGTAGTACTGCATAGGCAGGTTACATGTAGTACTGCATAGCCAGGGTTACATGTAGTACTGCATAGTCAGGTTAACATGTAGTACTACATAGCCAGGGTTACATGTAGTACTGCATAGCCAGGGTTACATGTAGTAATGCATAGCCAGGGTTACATGTAGTACTGCATAGCCAGGGTAACATGTAGTACTGCATAGCCAGGGTTACATGTATTACTGCATAGTAGGTTCTGTAGCTGTAGAAATAGTAGTAGTAGTAGTAGTAGTAGTAGTAGAAGTAGGTGCTGTACAAGTTGTAGTTGAAGTAGTAGCTGCAGGAAAGTATTTGCAGTGGCGGCAGCAGTACTAGCAGTAGCCGCGGTGGTGGTGGTAGTATAGTAGTAGTAGTAGTAGTAGTGGTGGTGGTGGTGGTGGTGGTGGTAGTAGTAGTAGTAGTAGTAGTGGTAGTAGTGGTAGTAGTAGTAGTAGTGGTAGTAGTGGTAGTAGTAGTAGTAGTAGTAGTAGTAGGTGCTATAACAGTAGTAGGTGCTATAACAGTAGTAGGTGCTATAACAGTAGTAGGTGCTATAACAGTAGTAGGTGCTATAACAGTAGTAGGTGCTATAACAATAGTAGGTGCTATAACAGTAGTAGGTGCTATAACAGTAGTAGGTGCTATAACAGTAGTAGGTGCTATAACAGTAGTAGGTGCTATAACAGTAGTAGGTGCTATAACAGTAGTAGGTGCTATAACAGTAGTAGGTGCTATAGGAGTAGGTTTGCATTGTTTGTATTTATCCAAGATCTTCAGAACAAAGCAATCCCCATCAACCGTAAACGAAAATATATACATTGCGCTTAACAAACATGGTGTAAGTTGACAATTTAAAACTAACAACATCGAAATTGACAGATGATTGCAAATGCCAATTCCCGTCACTCAACCGCCGAACTGTCAAAGCTCAACTCTAGGGTCTTCAGAGTTATCTGCCCTTGTCTGGAAACAGCAAACCTCACCGTTTCCTACCAGAAAGCCGTACATGCATGCGCGAAATAACAATGCTAAAAATAATACCATACATGTATTCTAAAAATAGTGTAGGAGTAAACCACCATGCAAAGTGTGTTATGTAGAGATTTAATTAAAGTAAAATGTTTCGATTTTGTTTTCTTTATATTCACGGGGTACAATCGTTGTTGTTTAATTGTTATTTGAATTCTATCTGTTCGTTACTCACTGTTGATAAGTTGGGGATCCTGATTAGCTGTGGATAAGTGTAAATAAAGATGCAGAACATGTATTTTGTTAGTTTATGTGCACTTAGGGATGTTACTTTCCCAATATGGTGATACAGAGGCGAAGTAATTTCAAGAAACTGAAGGTGTATTGATACATAAGTAAATATATAATACATATTAAGCTTTACCATGAATTTTAAATGTCCTTCCATAGCGTACTGATATGGTTTCCATATCTTCTAAGAACAAAGCCTATAATTGAATACTTATCGGTCGAGTTTTCACTTGAATTAGATGGGATTGCAATGCTATTTCATCTGCGATGATATAAAAGCAGCTAGAAATGCGTTACAGATTTTGCACTTTGCCCTTAACAGTATCCGTATCCAAAACATTTCTTGATTTTGTAATCATTTGAACTGTATAAGAATCTTCAGGACCCAGCTGTTCAAACGATGGTTAGCTTAATTAGTAATTAATGCAAATTTTATTTTCTCTGTATCTTGAAACTGCAACAATTCATTTAATTTAAACTTTTCATAGCAAAAAGCCATCCCTCAATCTGGATGTAAAGGTCGCTAATTATAAATTAGGCTAAACATCGTTTGGACAACTCAACCCTGATAGATAGGAAAATGTACTAAATATGACGAATAAAGTATTACAATAAATTTTCTAAATAACTTTCTGAATTATGCGTCTTATTACTGCAGCAGTCTTTTCCCATCCTCATATACGGTTTAACAGTGATATCAAAGGCAAGTAATGCCGGAATATTCTAGAAAAGTGTCCTGAAAACGGCAAAGTTGGCCTTATTGTCAATACATGTACTTCAATATTCAATATCGTGTTTTTTAGCTTTGAAGAGATAGAATCCGTAAAATGAATGTTTGACCATTAAAAACAACAACAATAATATTCATACAATTTCTTTTTAATTTCAAAGATTTAAATTCATATTTCAATGGTATCATTCTGCGATATGGACAACGATATAAAAATACAAATGAACTAGATTGTAACGACTTATAACAAAGATCAAATTTCGAACCACTGTCTCATTCTACCTGGCGAGATATCACTATGACACTATATGCAACCAGATAGTATTCAACCATGTATAGTATTCAAGATATTATCAACCTGTATTTATTGGTCCAAAACGTTTAAATTTTAAGTTCTTGGTATTTGGTAAAATTAAACCCTTTGCATGTACTATTTTCACTCATATTTCAATGGTATCATTCTGCGATATGGACAACGATATAAAAATACAAATGAACTGGATCGTAACGACTTATAACAAAGACCAAATTTCGAACCACTGTCTCATTCTACCTGGTGAGATATCACTATGATACTATAAAGGACAGCCTTAAGCATCCCCAATATATAATTGACCTTTGTATAAAGAACACAGTATATAAAGGACATTTTGACCTTAAATGACACCTTAAAAGGGTTAAAATGACCTCCAATTACTCAAGAAATGTTTTTTAGGAAAAATCTATGAACTATATATATATTTATGTCAAGATTGATAATCAGCATCATAAGTTGTTCTACATAATACAAATATAACCTCTTTGCAATAAAACAATAGGTATAGGTATATATCTAATAATGACACATTAAGAATTAATATAAAACATATTCACCAAGTGAGTGATTTGTGTATAAAGACATCCATCTATGAAGGTCACTTTTGCCTTTCCCCTTAGATGTCCTTTATATAAGGTTTGACTGTATAACATAAGTTCCCTTTTATATGTGTAAATACATGTGTATGACAGCCACTTGTATTTCTTCTCTATTTAAATCCATCATTTGAAGATAATATAATATTATCACTATGTACACAAAAATACAGTCATGTAAAATGCAAATACTTATTCATTTTTAGTGTTTATTTACAATATAAATTATTTTTTTAATACATGTATAGCTGTTAAATTCTGTCAACTATTTATATATCACCACAACAGCATAACCGATAAGGAGCTTTTAAATGATTACAAAATGTTTATGTTCATATTTCGTCCCGTTATGTTACACGAGATGCATCCTCTTCTCAGCATTTACATGTATCGTATTCAACATGTTATCAACCTGATTTACTGGTCCAAAAAGTTTAAATTTTAAGTTCTTGGTATTTGGTAAAATTAAACGCTTTGCATGTACTATATACATGATATTTAGTTTCGGTTGTTACTCTGGTTTTATGTATTGTGTATGAAAATACTGATTGTTCTTTCCTTCTTGCAACATGTATGTTGGTGAGCTATGTTAATATATTTCTTGTTCTTGGTCAACTTCCTTAGCTAAAAAATGTTGTATATGGCCGCTTAAACTAACAGATCACTGACTTACAAATAGCCTTGAGTTTGCAATTGATCCAGACTATACCTGGGAATAACATATTGTCCGATCCCATACAGACGTGTAACTGTAGATAACTGTTGCTTTCATAATTGTTCTCAACAGTTGTCTTCTGTGAGCGAATCAGCTAAATTAATTAATTAGTACACTGCAGTATGACAGTTGATTTTTATGAGATTTGAATGAAAAATGAGATTTTCAGTAAACTTGGTTTGCTCGTTCATCATATAGCTGTCCATGACTATCTTGAATCCTACACGTACCTGGATGGTTTTTCTTCCGCTAACTTATGAAATTGTAATTTATATCATAAGATGCTTAAAAATTGTATGCATGTAGATGCCAATCACACAATTTTACTACAAAGCGCAATGTACATCTTGCCTTTCCAAAATCCCACCGCCTTCATTCTCAGTTGTATTACTATACACATGTCAATTCATCCATGGGTTACCTATTATTTTATGTTTATGCATTTTCCTATTCCACGTACCCTGGTCACTGACAGGCAATTAATGTCCTGCATGGTCTACGTCTTACCCACTAGCTTTGATTTATGATCTTCATATATGACATCTGCATGTATAAGATACATCAATAGGAGTTGCTGTACTATAAACCTTCTTTGAACTGCGGTTTCAGATTTTTGCAGTCACTGTGTCATATTTATTGATGGAATTTTTTTTCTCTCAGAATCTGAGAAATTATTTCCGACTGTTCATGAAGTTATTAAATGGGCCTCATATTACAGATATCGTATTATGACATCATACATATTCCTGTGAATTACTCGTAAATAACATAAAATATATTTCTGCCAATTACTTTTAACTGATATCTGTGACTGTTAATATCAACCCTGTATCGTGAGTTCATGGCTTTGGAACAACTAAATCATTCCCAACAACAAGACCAGCATGGATCTCAAACTCAAAGTGGTTCAGAACTGATTGCAGAATCTAGCTCGACCACAATACATCACGTTTCCATGTCAAGAATACTGTGCCTTACATACTGGACACACGAAGTCGTGTTTTTTGGAGCTGCTGTGATATGCACACAGAAATAATGTGACCAACGACGTCAGACAGCACATTGTACACGTGCTGATGAGGCGGGCGCTTGACATCCACCCGTGTCACAGTATTTCCTTCGTTATGGATGCTCTGATGAAGTTTCCATGAGCTTGGACAGAGCATAATTTCGCATACCAATTGCATGATGGTGGGAAACCCTTGTAATGGCTATGCCGTTAGTCAAACACATGGCTTTCTGAAAAAACAATCAACATATATACATTGTATATGAGGACATAAAGTACCATCTATCATTGTTCATTTTATTGTTCAGGTTTTCCTTTTAACTTGTAAAATACAGATTTTATTGCCTCAATTTTACAAGTTTTACCCTTTTACTCAAGATTTACCTGGTCAATGAAGCTGTGGATAGTCTGCCTCCATTGGTGGTAAATGAGCTTCCGAATATCTTCCTTGCTAGGGAAGTACCTCCTGTTGATGATTTGAGGTGATTCTCTGCCAGAAGACAGTTCACTTCTTACAAAAGATCTTTAAATATCTTTGCATTTCCTTGGCATTGAAAACCCCTTCATCAACAAGAAACCTGATCTTTTTCACAACTCGCTCATCAATGGGGGCTTTCAGATCAGCACCCTGCATAAAATGAAATTTTAATTAGATAGCATAAAAAAGTGTTAATTACACAATAATTAGAAATGTTTCACTAATGTAACAGCAGCGAGTAGTACATATGTGTATAACAGAAAAATCTCCAGGCTCTGTCGGGGATCGATCCCTGGCCGCTGGCATACAAATCCAATGCACAAACCACAAGGCCAAAAGATCTAGACCAGTTAAACTGGTCAGTAATTGACGTATAAACCTCAACTGTTACACTAACAAGACTTTCTCTTGGGGCCAAATAAAAACAAGAGGCTTAACAGTCACCTGAGAAAAATGGTATCAAGCAGTGGAACAACATTCTAATGTGTATATGTGTGTACAAAATGTCATCCATTTTTGTGTGTATCTAGTGTCATGGTGATACACAGAAAGAACCAGATAGGGGTCTGCTGAGAGGTATATCTGGTTGTATCTAGTGTCATAGTGATATCTCACCAGGTAGAACCAGATAGGGGTCTGCTGAGAGGTATATCTGGTTGTATCTAGTGTCATAGTGATATCTCACCAGAAAGAACCAGATAGGGGTCTGCTGAGAGGTATATCTGGTTGTATCTAGTGTCATAGTGATATCTCACCAGGGAGAACCAGATAGGGGTCTGCTGAGAGGTATATCTGGTTGTATCTAGTGTCATAGTGATATCTCACCAGGGAGAACCAGATAGGGGTCCGCTGAGAGGTATATCTGGTTGCATATAGTGTCATAGTGATATCTCACCAGGGAGAACCAGATAGGGGTCCGCTGAGAGGTATATCTGGTTGTATCTAGTGTCATAGTGATATCTCACCAGGGAGAACCAGATAGGGGTCTGCTGAGAGGTATATCTGGTTGTATCTAGTGTCATAGTGATATCTCACCAGGTAGAACCAGATAGGGGTCTGCTGAGAGGTATATCTGGTTGCATATAGTGTCATAGTGATATCTCACCAGGTAGAACCAGATAGGGGTCTGCTGAGTGGTATATCTGGTCGTATCTAGTGTCATAGTGATATCTCACCAGAAAGAACCAGATAGGGGTCTGCTGAGAGGTATATCTGGTTGTATCTAGTGTCATAGTGATATCTCACCAGGTAGTGAGTGAGTGAGTATGGTTTTATGCCGCTTTTAGCAATATTCCAGCAATATCACGGCGGGGGACACCAGAAATGGGCTTCACACATTGTACCCATGTCGGGAATCGAACCCGGGTCTTCGGCGTGACGAGCGAACGCTTTAACCACCAGGCTACCCGACCGCCCCCTCACCAGGTAGAATCAGATAGGCTGCTAACAGTTATATCTGGTTGTATCTAGTGTCATAGTGATATCTCACCAGAAAGAACCAGATAGGGGTCTGCTGAGAGGTATATCTGGTTGCATATAGTGTCATAGTGATATCTCACCAGAAAGAACCAGATAGGGGTCTGCTGAGAGGTATATCTGGTTGTATCTAGTGTCATAGTGATATCTCACCAGGTAGAACCAGATAGGGGTCTGCTGAGAGGTATATCTGGTTGCATATAGTGTCATAGTGATATCTCACCAGAAAGAACCAGATAGGGGTCTGCTGAGAGGTATATCTGGTTGCATATAGTGTCATAGTGATATCTCACCAGAAAGAACCAGATAGGGGTCTGCTGAGAGGTATATCTGGTTGTATCTAGTGTCATAGTGATATCTCACCAGGTAGAACCAGACAGGCTGCTAATAGTTATATCTGGTTGCATATAGTGTTATTGTGATATCTCACCAGATAGAACCAGATAGGGGTCTGCTGAGAGGTATATCTGGTTGCATATAGTGTCATAGTGATATCTCACCAGAAAGAACCAGATAGGGGTCTGCTGAGAGGTATATCTGGTTGCATATAGTGTCATAGTGATATCTCACCAGAAAGAACCAGATAGGGGTCTGCTGAGAGGTATATCTGGTTGCATATAGTGTCATAGTGATATCTCACCAGAAAGAACCAGATAGGGGTCTGCTGAGAGGTATATCTGGTTGTATCTAGTGTCATAGTGATATCTCACCAGGTAGAACCAGATAGGCTGCTAATAGTTATATCTGGTTGCATAAAGTGTTATTGTGATATCTCACCAGATAGAACCAGATAGGGGTCTGCTGAGTGAGTGAGTGAGTTAAAATTTAACGTCGCATCGGCATTATTTCAGCCATATAGCGACGAGACCAAGTTAATATATTTACAATTTTGTCATTAATGCAAAGTTTTGTTTAAAAACAAGTTGTAAAACATATTTGACCATACTATATTTAGAAACAATTCAGGAAACATATTTGAGCATAACAATATTATATATACAGTTTTAAAACACGGGCTATAGGCCATCAGTAACCACAGCTAGGCCACCTCACTGTGGGTGGGTGAGTTGGGTTTAGCGCCGCTTTTAACAGTATTCCAGTTATATCACGGCGTGTCAGCTTAGTGTGGGAGGAAAGCCCCAAGTGATGCAGGTCTCAGACGTTTACCACTTCGGTGAAACCCACGAGCACGGGTATGGTGCTGACAAACCTAGAAACATAATCGGGGCGAACCGGGATTCGAACCCCCAATCATAGGTTTCTGGCATGCCCAAGGGACGCAACTCTGCATAGCGAATCGCGGCGCCTTAGACGACTAGGCCACCCATGCCCCCCACCTCACTGTGGATCATGCTTCCTGCATGATACCCCAGCAGGATTTACGTCATCACTTTAGCCACTGGTGGTTGTGCACAATGCTAGCCAATACTAAAAAATACTCATAAATGAGTTGGCTTAAAAACACTGGTTGATGATAGTTACATTGATTATGATAGGATTACGTGTCACGCAGGACAGAGCCTTTAATAATGTCTGTTAATAGTAGCATCACACCAAAGTTAAAAACAAGCATTTAATTATTCACATACATATTTAAAATTTATTATACAGACCAATTTTTTTCAAGTAATTTATGATGAGATGCCCACTGACACAGGAAAAGAGATCTTGTAGATTTACACTTTGATAATGTGAATCCCTTGCGATTGCAAAGTCCACACAGTCAAGCAATATATGCTTGACTGAACCTTTCATCACAAGGGATACACTTAGGATGTTCTTCCTCATCTGTCTTAAGCAGATATTCGTGTGTAAACCGACTGTGGCCAATACGACATCGTCGTAAAACGACCTCGTCATGTCTTGACTGACAACCCAAGCAGGTATGACCGATTGTTGGTTTCAATTCGTGTAGTTTATTGCTTCCTACTTGGGTGTCCCACCTCTTTTGCATAAGATCCCGAGTATACGATTTGATGGTAGGTTTGAAATCACTGTACGGGATACGAAGTGGAGATAATGGTTTGTCAAGAGCTGCTTTAGCTGCAGCATCGGCTTTTGAGTTACCTGTTATGTCTACATGACTTGGTAACCAGCAAAAGACGATGTCACATTGGCCAGTGGAAAGATCATTATAGAGTTCTAAAATATCAAGGATAATAGGGTGATATGGTGAGACACTTTTAAGTGCCTGAAGGCAAGATAACGAATCAGAGAAGATGATGAAATCTTTAGATTGGTTTTGTTGTTTAATATAGGTCAAAGCTGTAAGGATAGCTTTGGCCTCAGCAGTACAAATTGAACTAAAATCTGGGATTCTTGAGGAGACTGTTCTGGATCCAACGATGGTGGCACTTGCAACTTTGCGACCATCCTTGGACCCTTGTGTAAAAATGGACCTGTGAGAATTATATCTGGAGCGTAATTGGTTATACGATTGTTGATATACCAAAGGATTGGTATCCGACTTTGTTAGTTTGGTTAGAGTGAGGTCTACTTCTGCCTTCACCATCTGCCAGGGAGGAGAAGACAGAAGACAGTGGGGTGATATAATATTTAAATCTATTTTAGCTGCAGTGATGCATGGTTGAATTCTGATCCTAATTGGTGGAACCAGGTTTGATAGATTTCGAAACAGGTTTTCATATTGAGGGTGGATATATGGCAGTGAAAGTTTAATGCGGCGCAGTTCCATTGAAGGTTCATCTGCCTCCACATACAAACTATCCACGGGAGAGGTCCAAAAAGCTCTAAGACAGAGTCTTAGGCCTTGATGGTGTATAGTGTCCAATTTTTCTAAATTGCTTTTGCAGGCTCCACCATAGACAATGAAACCATAGTCCAGTTTGGAGCGTATTAATGATCTGTACAAGTGAAGGAGGGTGATCTGATCCCCTCCCCCCTCGGAATTTGAAACGACTTTTAACAAGTCGAGAGCCTTTAGGCACTTTGCCTTGAGATTTTTATGTGTGGTAAGAATGTGAGATGACGGTCAAATATGAGGCCCAGGAATTTGGCCTCCTCTACCACCTTGATAGGAGTACCATCTACAAATAAATCTGGATCCTTGTGAGGTTTGTATTTACGACAAAAGTGAATACAATTTGTTTTGGATTTAGAAAATTTGAAGCAGTTTTCGTTGGCCCATTTTTGAATTTTGTTAAGACAGAGCTGTAGCTGTCTTTCTATTGTATTCATATTCTTACCATGACAAGAAATGTTCAAATCGTCCGCAAAAAGTGAACCATCAACGCTATTGTTTCATACTTTAGTGAGACTATTAATTTTGATGCTGAAAAGGGTGACTGATACTATGCGGCCTTGAGGGACCCCCTGATCTTTATCAAAATGATCAGACGGTACTTGAAATTGTCTGTTGTTTAAAAATTAAGATATAAACTGAGGTAATCTGCCCTTAAATCCAAATTCATGCAAATCTTTTAAAATACCATGTTTCCACGTTGTATCATATGCTTTCTCTAGATCGAAAAAGATTGATATAGAATGTTGTTTGTTGACAATGGAATTTTTTATAAACGATTCTAAACACACCAAATGGTCAATGGTACTTCTGTTTTTTCGGAAACCACACTGGATGTCACTCAGGAGGTTATTGGTCTCCAGGTACCAGACTGATCGATTGTTGACCATGGGCTCCATGGTTTTACAAACACAGCTAGTTAATGATATTGGACGGTAGTTGGATGGATCTGTATGATCCCGTCCTGGCTATGGAATAGGAATAATAATACCATTGTGCCACGAAGAAGGGAAATTTCCGGTTGTCCATATTTCATCAAATATACTAAGTAACGTCTCCTAACATGAATCGGGCAAGTGTTTCAGGAGCTGATAGTGGATGTTGTCGGCTCCTGCTGCAGTGTCATTAGATTGCCCTAGGGCAGTATATAATTCATGTCACGCGAACGTGAGGAAGACTTTGTGGTACTCCTATCGATATTATGTGGAGATGGAGTTACCTCAATGTCCAGAGGATCAAAGGAGTTATGGACCTCTACTGGGACCTCTAAAGGAGAGGTGGCCTTTGGTGTTTGCAGCTGTTTTTGCTGCTTCTTTTTCAATAATTTCTTTTCCCTGTTTGTAAGTTTAGTAATTTCTGGTTCTGGTTCCGTTTCTGGTTCTGTTTCTGGTTCATGTGTTGGTTTAGGAGTCTGAGAATCAACATTTTTAACAGTTTTGTTTTTGGGAGGAGTCACAGACGAGGGTGTCACAGCTGGTTTAGGGAGTGAAGCAGTAGGAAGTGGCTGAACGGACTTGACCCATGTCAGATCAGTCTGGCAGTCGATAGAGGCAGCAGTTACAGGAGGACAAGAGACAGCAGCAGATTAAGAGAGAGTGGAAGTGGTTGAGGGAATACCCACAACCCTCTTCTTAGCTTCGTGCTACGAGACATTTTGTTCTGTCTTGACTTTAATAATTTGGGACTCGCGTTTCCACACAGGACAGGATTTTGCGGAAGCCATATGGTTCCCACCGCAGTTTGCACACTTCACATCCTTCCTGCAGTCAGTGGCTTCGTGTTTGTCACAGCAGCGGTAACAAACAGCGGATGCATGGCAGGACTTGGATCCATGTCCAAACACTTGGCAGGTGTAGCACCGGAGTAGATTGGGGATATACACCTCCACTCCGATGTTACAATAACCAGCTTTGATAGATTCAGGGATAGTAGTTCGGGCGAAAGTGAAGAGGTAGGTGTTGGTCGGTTGGACGACACCATCCCTCTTTACAATGAATCGTTTGACAGCTGTGACGGACTGTTGGTCAAGTTCTTTGGCTATATCGTCTTCGGACATATTGGACAGGCAGCGAGCTCTGTCACGGACAATGCCCTTACACGAGTTCAGTGTCTTGTGCACTGCGACAACAACTTTGATATTGACAAACTCATTTAAATCGAGAAGTTTGATAGATTGTTGTCTCCGTGCACATTCTACAAGGAGAGAGCCAGAACGAAGCTTTGTGACATTTGTAACCTCTCCGCAGATACCAATGATACCTTTGGAGATAGCAAATGGATTCAGTTTGATTGGTTCTTTGTCTAAAGCTTTTATAACCAAGAAACCTGGCCAATAGTCGGATCGAGTGGGCGTAGTATTTTCAACAGTCTCTATATGTCGTCTTTTTGAACCAGGATGATGGGAAGCCATGTCGAAAGGAAAATAATTCAGCACCCCTTTTCCCCACCCACCATGGAGTGTCTACAAGGACAGTCTTATGCTGCAGCGGATCTCCAAACTGCAAAGACCGGGGATAAAGGGGTGGTATACTCCAGCAAAATTGACACGAAGAGCTATAGCATTCTACCAAATTAAAGGTCAGGCTGGTTCGGCCCTTGACAATGAATTGGAGAAGTACAGAATTCGGACGTCAGCATCACCAGATTGGCCTATGAGCCACCGCCTTCTGGTCATAGGGCTCTAAGCAAGTTTTATACATTGATAGATATGATATAGACAAGTAGAATAGATTTATTTTTAAATATCAAAAGTGTGCGTGAAATATTTTATGCACAGGGCATGACATGACCAGCCGATTGATAGAATCGGGCCCATTCTACCGCCCGTCTAGGCAAAGTTAGGGTTGAAGTGGTGTGTTGGAATAATAATCATCTAGATCCAGTGCGAGTTGCATCAAGGAGAGTTCGGCGAGTACGTCGACGTTCCTATTATGCCAAAGGACCAAACTTTGTTTGGCATGTAGATGGATATGATAAACTTAAACCATTTGGACTTTGTATCCACGCTTGTGTTTGTGGATTTTCAAGAAAAATAACATGGATCAAGGTCTACAATACCAACAACAATCCAAAGGTAATTGGTGGATACTTTTTAGAGGCCGTTAGGACCCACAGAGGTTGTCCACGCACGAAAATGTACACATCCGAGAGTATCAACAGTATCTTCGACTAAACAATACAGATTCACAAGCCGGAAGATGCTTCATTGATGGTTCCAGTACATCAAATCAAAGATTCAAAGTCTGGTGGTCATTTCTAAGAAAGGAATGTACACAGTTTTGGATTGAAACGTTCAAAGGTCTCGGGGAAAAATTGGGATTTCAGGGGAGATTTCTTGGACAAAAACCTTATCCAGTTTTGTTTCATGGCTATTGTTCAGATACACTTTATTGTATTATGTCATGCAAGTAGAACTGTTCATACATAAAGTAACGATTTCATACATGTAAACTTTCTTCGACGTATATTTTATATTTCTCTTTACTATAAAATATGTTACTATTACCTGCAATGATCAATACAATATAAAACACGTTTTTGCTGTTTTCATGTCCTAATCTACACCAGATAAATCGGTTTGAAACAATTCTTTAACATTAACATTTTTAGGATGATCTGGATTCCGTGGCTGCCGTTTGGGACAACCATTGCATAAGACCATCAAGAAACAATGTTGCAAGTGGTCATCCAGAGCAAATACAGTGCTCCAGCTCTATGGGAAACTGAAGATCAACTCTGTGTTGTGTCCGACGAAGACGTCTCTACCTGCCTTGAGGAAGCCTTGCTTTGCTCAACAATCCCCTGTGATGAAGACGTTTATGAAATATGTACTAAAATCATGGGGAGAGACAACCTACAACCGGCAACGAATGCTCAAGAAGCAGCTGATCTGTATATACATCTCCGACAAGAAATCTACGAAGTCCTGTAGTAAAGTCTAATATACATCTGTTTTATGATCCTACCAAATGTAACTCGTTGCCTCCTTCCACGAGGCACGTATTCCTATTGATGGTTATGATTAACATTAGTGTTTTGCAGCTAAAGCATGTATAAATGCCAGTACAAACTTTCGTTTAATGTTTCAGACATAAACCATTTCCCAAATTTAACATTGATTCACTCTAGATCTGATGTTTTACAAGAAGTAAAAGCAATGTGAACTAAAACTTCCAACTGATTGCACTTCTGACAAATGTTTGCTGACACAAGAGCCGCAACCCTACAATAAATTTATGTGCATACAATAACTTGCATAAGCTTAGTTTACTTGTTTAGTGCATGATTAGCATAATGTCTGAATTACATAAAGCTGACACGTCATTCGTAAAATGTTATAATTCTATAGTCGCAGACCTTTGGAACAATTGCTTAAATTGTTGAATTACAAGCCCTGATGGTAATATAAATAAAGATTATCAGATGACTATTTGCTATGATAATAAGTTTTATATCAGTTCATAACGCAAATTATGTACTTTGAACGTTGTACTCCGAAGCTATCAGTCTAGGTAGATACATGAAACAAATGAATGTTCACGAATTAACATTTAAAGAATGACAAAAATAGTCTGTTAAGCTGTTAACTGATGGCTCTTTATTGCGTTGCGTGACAGCTTTTTAAAATGACTGCAAATTTAATACAATACTTCGAGAAACAAAGTTTATCATGTACAGATGGATATCATTATTATCAGCAGTTCGATATACAGTGAGTGAGTGAGTGAGTGAGTTAATATTTAAAGTCACATCTGCACTATTACAGCCATATCGTGACTGAAACAAGTTAAACATTTATATTATATGTAAAAACCTGTCGCTGAAGGACAGTACAACAACTAGCAATATATCACAGATTATAATTTTAAAAACTAATTTTAGAGCAATAAAATGATCAAATTATATCAGACGACACAGTATAAAAACGGGCTGTAGATCGCCAGCAACCAAAGTTCGGCCACCATACTAGGGACCATGGGGACTTATGGTACTTCTGCTACCTACATGGTGCCCAGCAGGATTTACACCATCCCTCGGGCTACTGGCGATGATCAGAAAGATTAGCCAAACAGTTAAAATCAACAAAAATGCTACGATTAAAATCACAGCAAAATGAAAAGATACTTTGAATGATACCGGACTTACGTACCTTCCCAGGGGGACAATTGTTTTACGATACTTCAACCCCCTTGAAGATACAGCCACTAACAATCTAAGTTATGAATTCAATTTACTAAATTAAAATCACTTTCTATATACTATACATATTATAATCAAAATTTATCTATTAAGTCTATTTCTTTTAAAAAACCGAGGAGTAAATGAGCACTGATACTAAAAAGATCCTTGATGGACGAAACTTTGAAATACTTATCCCTTGTAATGGAAAAATCAATACAGTCAAGCAGGACATGCTTGACTGTGATTCTCTCATCACAAGGGATACAAAACGGAGGATCCTCACCTTTCAATAGATATTCGTGTGTATATCTTGAATGGCCAATACGACATCGTCGTAAAATGACCTCTTCAAATCTGGACTGACACCCCAAGTAGGTGTAACCGATAGTTGGCTTAATTTGATGTAATTTATTGATACCGACTTGGGTGTCCCACTTCATTTGCATAAGATCTCTGATGTAACATCTGATCACAGGTTTATAATCACTGTATGGAAGTAGAAGTGGTGTCATAGATTTGTTGAGGGCTGCTTTAGCAGCAGCATCAGCCATTGTGTTGCCTTTAATGCCCACATGACTGGGCAACCAACTATAGACGATGTCGTATTGGCCAGTTGAAAGATCATTATAAAGTTCTAAAATGTTTAAAATGATTGGATGACTAGAAGAGACTTTTTTTTAGTGCCTGAAGACAAGATAAAGAATCAGAAAAGATTATAAATCGTTTATATGCAGACTGTTTTTGAATGTATCCCAAGGCTGTAAGGAAAGCATTGGCCTCAGCAGTGAATATAGAGCTATTATCTGGTATTCTGTACGATAAATGTTTTGATCCAATGACGGTGGCAGATGCTACTTTGCCACCATCCTTGGATCCATCAGTAAAGATTGAACGGTGAGTGTCGTATTTAGTTCTTAACTGTAAATATGCTTGTTGATAGACGAGTGGATTGGTCTCAGATTTGATAAAACGTGTGAGGGAAATGTCTACTTCTGGCCTCACCAACTGCCAGGGAGGAGAAGACAAAAGGCGGTAAGGAGAGATGAGATCTAAATCTATATGGGCAGCAATAACATTTGATTTAATCCGAATTCCAAGTGGGGGAACCAGCTTTGGTTTCCTCAGAAACAGTACTTCATATTGAGGATGAAAAACGGAGTCATATGCAGGATTAGAAGGTTTAGAGTGCAATTTGGTGATATATTGAAGAGATAATTTAATACAGCGTAGTTTCAAAGAGGGTTCATCAGCCTCAACATAGAGACTGTCAACAGGAGAAGTTCTAAAAGCACCAAGGCACAGTCTAAGTCCTTGATGGTGGATTGAATCCAGCTTTTTAAAATTACTCTTGCAAGCTCCAGCATACACAATGGAGCCATAGTCTAATTTAGAGCGGATTAATGATCTATATAAGTGAAGGGGGGTTGTCTGATCCCCTCCCCACTTAGAATTTGAGACGACTTTCAACAAATCGAGGGCCTTCAGGCATTTAGTCTTTAAATATTTAATATGTGGCAAAAACGTCAAAAGGTGGTCGAAAATCAATCCCAGAAATTTGGCCTCTTTTACAACATTAATTGGAGTACCATCTATAGAGAGCTCTGGGTCTTTATATTTCCGACAGAAATGTATACAATTTGTCTTTGTCTGTGAGAACTTAAATCCATTCTCAAGACACCATTTTTGAATTTTATTAAGACACAACTGTAACTGTCTTTCAATTGTACGCATATTTTTACCACGACATGAAATATTAAAATCATCCACAAACAATGACCCATCGATTGAGTCATTTAATACTTTAGATAAACTATTTTTTTTTATGCTAAACAAGGTAACAGACAAAATACTGCCTTGTTGAACCCCCTGATCCCGATTATAATGATCAGACAGGGTTGATCCAACACGAACTTGAAATTGTCTGTCCTTTAAAAACTGTGATACAAATTGAGGCAAGCAGCCTCTTAAACCAAAGTCATGTAAATCTTTCAAAATACCATGCTTCCAAGTGGTATCATAAGCTTTTTCAAGATCGAAAAAGATAGATACAGCATGTTGTTTGTTTATAAAAGCATTTTTAATAAATGATTCTAAATGAACCAAATGATCAATTGTACTTCGGTTTTTACGAAAACCGCACTAGATATCACTGATTAAATGGTTGGTTTCTAAAAACCAAACTAAGCGATTATTCACCATGCGCTCCATGGTTTTACAAACACAGCTAGT